TGTGGGGAGATGGGGCGGGGACAAATCAAATAAATAATAATAAATAATAATAATAAATACCTAAGATGGGTCGCCAGTTGCTGCTTGTATTGAAGCACTGGTTGGATTGCCCTCTCTTGGAGATGCTTCCACAGGAGTTCCTGCACTGATTATGGACGTTGTGGGGATCAGTAACTATTAGTTTTGATGGCAGTATGACTGCCTCTGAAGGCCATCTGCTGGGAGACTTGTGGGGTTCCTTGTGGACTGTGAGAACAGGCTGCTGGGATAGATGGTCCAGGGGTCCGATCCAGCAGATCACTGCTTATGTTCTTATCATAGGAGATTGTGCTTGATGGCTGAAATGACCTCTTCCCTGATTTTGTGATTAGAAATTCTCCTCTGCATGTCCTGGTGAAAAGAAGGAGAGCTGTACAACAGCAGTTCCATTTATTTTATTAAGGCTTAAGCAGGAAAAGAAAAAAGAAAAAGCTTGTCAGTGTAGGCTTCCTTCCCCCCACCTTCGGTCAAGTCTGCTTTCCACTGTGCCGTTGCCCTTAAGGGCATCCAGAATCTGCCACCTGAGAAGGTTTCCTAATTTACCAGAAAGCACAGGCTGAACCTGCAAACACAGGCAAGGTTGTCAGGCAGGATTTATAACACTGAACATATGCAATTTAATAAAAAGTGTATTGGCATTAACCACTTTTCAGAAGCTGCAGGTGCCTCTCCATTATAGACTTGACACATATAGCCTAGGTTGTAACCTTGCCAAATCTTTCTGTAGTATTTTCCCAACCAATTTATAATGGAGAGGAAAGATGATCATGGAGCCGCTGCATTAGGCACAATATTCCCAAGGAGAGGGTGGATGAGTTTGAGGATCGGTTCTTACTTTGTCACTCTGTTCTTTGTGCTTGTGCTGTAGCAGAAAAAGCAACAGCGTAAGCCTGGGAAGGTTCTATTGTACCATATTGCTTTTTCCCCTCCCAATATAATATCTTTATCTATATACAATATAGATTTGTGTGTGAGAGAGACAGAGAGAGAGAAAGAGATGTGAACTGGTAATAGGCATATAACCAATGGAGATTGCTGCGCCTCGGAAGTTTGCTGCTGTGGCTACCTAAAATTTTATTGATGTATCACAAGATTGTAGAATGGTTCTCTGTATGAGTATAGGTATATGTTTTCTTATAGGTTGTGAGCTGCTTATCACATCTGCAAACCATACATAATTTCCTTTCCAAAACAAAAAGCCTATCCCTAATGGATTGTCAAGATATTTTTTTTTCAACAAGCCTGGTGGCAACACACTGAAATTTTGTCATTCCCATCAGTGAAATCTTACTGCATGTTTATTAAAAGTTAATTACTATAGCTTTAAGATACAGAATTGTTAGTGGAATAAGAAGTATCTAATGAACTTTTAAATGGTAGCAATTACATGCTCAGAATTAATTACTTGCATCAGCATTTATTGCTTACTTGACTAGAAGGGCTGAATTACAACTGTGACCAAGCTGTATATGAAGCCTAGTTGAAGACAAAGAGAAAGGCAAATCAAGCTTAGGAATGTTCTGAGCTTGTAGACATATTTCCTCTGTTACATTTAATTCAGGTACAGTTTTTTAAAAACCTGAAAGGATGCTATCTTTATTGTCCTAAATAATAGTAATAGGCTAATAACTGCAGTTAGCTGACGCCCGTTACCCTAACTGTATTATGTTTTAGTGGTGTGCAATTTGCTTGTAGGAAACGTCTACATATGAATTCCTGCCAGATGACCCCACATTAACCTTGGTCACTCTAATAATTATTTTTGGGTAGTTGAGCAGCGGATGCCACTTTCCCCTCCTTGTACCAGCTAGCTCCTCAAACAAGAGGCAACTAGAATCTTGTACTTGCTTTTCTAATATGGGGGGGGGGGAATCCTGCAAGCTGACCACATCCAGGAAAGCAAGTCTGGCAGTGAAGGATTAGGAGAAAAAGCCAAGGCACTATTCAGCACTTTGGCTTCTGGATGGAAGGAAGAAATCCCATAGGTGAGAGGTCAGATGAGGCAGAAACTTCCACTTAGGAGAAGTTGACCCATCCTGCCACTCCAGAGGAAGTGCTGCAAAATCCTTAATGCAGTGTTTCCTGTAGAACAGGAGTCAGGATAATTAACTTGCAGAGTTAATTGGCTCCACTTTAGAAGATAGCTGAGAAGCCCATAGCATCATGGGGTTAAGCAAGGTAGTGGTCACCTTAGATTGATGCATGTCTTGCATGTGGAAGAGCCCATACATGCAATAGTTATCTATTGGTAGAGCAATCAGTAAGAAGGCCCATAATATACATAATTTCTATAGGCATATAATACCTTCAAGAGCTTGATTGATTCCACACAGATGGACTCATTAGACACATTATGTCAAAGACCATATAAGGATTAAGAACTAGAAAGAACCATTTGATTGATTGATTAGCAATGTTTTATACGCTAATTGAACAACTCTGTGCAATGAACAGAAGTATCTCTAACAGCATTCTCTGCAAGACAAATCAACAATAAATAACAACAAATCCCAAGGAAAATCAGATGGCCCACCTGTAACCTCTCTAAGCATTGAAAACACTGAAATCCTACCTAACAAGAAAAGTTTTCAGAAGCTTTTGGAAGGCCAGGAGCCTAGTTCTCAAGTTCTCTACCTTCAGGAATTTTTTTTATAGCAGCCCATCTGAACCAAATTGAAGTAAACTATGGAGCATGCTCTAGGTATCTGTTCCATTCATGTACAGATCATTCCCAACCTGATGCTGTTCTGAAATGTTGGGATTTTAACTCTCAGAACCTACAGGCAGCTTGTGTAGAAGTCTTGCTTTTCAGCAGAAATTCCTTAGCAATTAGTCAATCATTATGCTTTAAAAGGTCATAAACATTGGCCCAAATCTTCAAATTTCTAGAAAGTAGGTGATCCTGATAATTTTGCATCCAGTGTTTGATTTCATTTGAGTTAATCCTAAACTTCAACATTTGTTGACTGGTTGGAGTTTCTTCTTCATCCTTTACAAGCATGACTCAGTTCTTTGTTTTTCTAATGCAAACCTAATTGTTATTTTATTTTTCCCATCTTACAGCTACCCATAATTAATCTTACTCTGATCTTTTTACTTAATTAATCTTACTCTGATATTTTCTTTAATATCCTTAGCATCAGCAGCCTTCTTGCACAGTCTATAGTGTCTGCAACTAAACTGGACTGAAAAAGCAGGACTTCCAATTGAACCTATGATTTGGACAAGCCCATACTGAACTGGACTCATTAGCCTTGTGTACGAAACCATGCTGAATTTTACTTTAGGATTCCCTCCTGGACACTTATTGGAAAAGTTCACATGATACTTCATGCCAGACTATGGATTGATGACAATGTACAGGGTGCTATTATGATAATATCCATTAGCTGCTCCCATGAGTGTGTGTGTCTAGTTAATCATAAAGACTCAATCCATAGTTTGTTTATTGCATTGTCTGAACTAAAAGCAAGAGAAGAAGGCAAAATTCTTTCTCTAGCCCTTTCCTCTGGCTTGTTCATGGCTTGGATAAGTTGCTAGACTATGGATGGCGCTGTCTCTACTTTGTTAGCCATTCTTGCTTCTGGAACAACTGACCAGGTTTGACTAGCAGACATCAGTAACATGCAATATAGCTTTGAATACAAATTGTAAGATCACTGTCAGTCTTCACAGGCATTCAACAAATAGTTGTGAGCATTGACAGGAACCCTTGCTGAGACATGCGCACTGGTCCCATCCTTTCTACTCATGATCTCCATACTGGTAGGGATAGTCAGAAAAGTGGATATATTGTCACATGCCTGGGGTTTTAGAAATGCCCTGACCTACTACTTACTAGGAATACATGCACAAAAATATGTTTCCAATCATACTGAAATGACTTTCAATATTTACCAAATTATTTTTGAGATTTGAAACTTTCTTGGGGAAAAAAATATGCAGAATTGTTGACATGCAATAACTTTCAGGTGTTCACCATAACATAGAAAATGAAGGAGGTGGAACCTGATTTAGGCATAAGGCAGTGTGCTAGCAAAGACTTGCTCATTTAGTTCCACATCTAGTACAATAGAACTTTCTCCCCCGCCCCGCCCCCAGAGGACACAAATATATCATCCAAATCTATTTTTCATCAAACCTAATTTCCGACAACTGTTAAAGTACAGGTGAGATGCTGTAATTTCTTTCTTTCTTCAGCAAACAAGATGTGTTATTTATTACAAGTCTTTGTCTCCTTGCTCCGTCTCTTTGGTGTCATTGTCCCCTTGCCATTTTTACTTTTCTGTGACTGTTAATGCTGACACTCCTTGCTCCAAAAAAAAAAAAAATGTGTTTTATTTACAGGGCACAGCTTATGGAAGTATTCCTATTCCTTCTCGCAGGCAATTATGTGAGTCTCTTAAATTCTGCTCTGTGTTGTAAAGATTATTATATGTGTTCATGTGCTGGCATGGCATGCTGCTAGAGATGAAACACCCTTAGGTCAATATGCAACCAGCAGTGTTGCATATTGCCTGTAACGTGCTTGTAGCTAATGGTTTCCAGTGCACCCTCCTTTCCTTACTTGGTATGGTCTTCCCTAGTACAGCCAGAAAGGACAACTGCCCAGTGCTCCACAGAGTTCTGAGAAAAATTGGAAAACTGGATTCATCCAAAGTCTGGAAGGAAGACAAGTGCTAGTTTAACTTCAGCCATCATACATACCCATTGTAGCAGATCAATGATCTTGTCCTTACAGCCTCATAACACTGCAGCTCCTTTACAATCTGGTTCATAGCTTCTTTTAAAATTTTCCATGCAGTGGTCCTTTGCTAAGGAAACAATATCTAAACCAGCCTACCAAGAATAGACCAACAGACAGACAGACAGCTTCTTGGAAAGGTTTCAACACTGGTAACTGCTGCCAAAACATTGCTTCTGATTAACATGGAAAACATCTTAAAGAAATGTGCAAAGTGGCAATAAGAAGCTGCCTAAAACAACACCTTGCTCCATCTATGATGAGCAAAAAGGGAATAATATTCTGCAAATGGTGGAATTAGATTTTCAGTTCCAATAATAATACTGAGTAGAGGTAGGTAGTCCACTGTTTTCATGGACTCCTCTCCCCCACTTCAGTTTTTATGATTCCCCAGAGCCTTGTGAGATACTCCTAGTAACATTCCATAACAAAGCTCAGATTTTTAGTAGTATGCAATTTGTGTATGTGTTATCATTAAATGAAGGGCTACCATAGGTGTATTACACCTTGCCTAACTTATTTTGACATTCTGAAAAAGCCCCAGCCCTGCAGATATGCAAACAAAGAAGGAAAAAAGCTTGCCATCTCAGGTACTGTTACTTCCATGCCCCTTTTTCTAGTGGGTGAAAAAAAAACTCCTTAAAAACTGGGGTCCCCAACCAGAAAAGGGTTCCTTGCCCTTAGATAGAAAAAGAGAGGGGAGAGGGTGTTTAGCTAGCCATCTGACTTAAGACCAGTGCTTTTCCATTAAGATCCACCTAAATTCAGTGTATAGCACTTCCAAACTACCATCAGACCTCACTGAAACCAAAAATTGGGCAGGGGGCTCCATTCCTGTAAGTCTCCACCTCTCTTTTGCTTCCCCCCTCACAGTGTGTCCATTTGCCAGGCTTCCATTTTGTTCCACATGCGCATAATATGCTACAGCAATGCACTGCATCATCAATGATTATTGCACAATGCATCACAGTGATGAATGCTGAGCTGATTCGTCATCATGTGACATTAGTGGCTTATTCACCAAGTGCAGTTCAATCCAGATAATGCTTTTATTTCACTTTCAGTGGCCTTGAACATTTTGCTTGCATCACGTTCACTGTGGCTGATGATACAATAAATAAGGGGGGTTAAAAAAGGAACGTAATAAGATATGTCTACTGATATGGGTCTTGTGCAAGATATAATCTCTGTGTAATGGTCTTTCTCTTATATCACTATGAGAAGTATTTGATTTCTCCTGGATGAAATATCAGTTAGCTGTGCTATTATTAATGAAGGTAGAAGATGAGGAATTACTCCTGCTTAAGTCTTTGATTTCTGAATATCTGGATTAATGACAGTAGTGAAGTGTTCTTTGAGGCCTGTGATAGGAGTATAATGTTCTCCTTGTGAAAGCTGAGGAGATTAATTGTAGATTTTTGAAAATATTGACATGTTTTTTTTCTTTCTTTCTTTTTTTGGTAATAACTTTATTAAATTTTTAAACAAGAAAGATAAAAACTAACAAGTACTAATATTTAAGACAAAGGAAAAAGAAAAGAAAGAAAGAGAAAACAAAGCCAAAAGTGCAGAAAGAAAAAGTATAAGGAAATTACTTCTGATTTTCTTTTATAGCAGTTATAGATTTAAATTGAACTCTTACTCTAGGGTTACAACATAACTCTCATTTTTTCTCATTTTTTTATAATCATCAAACCCATAATTTCATTTTTTATGTTTCATGCAAAAAGTCCAAAGAGGTTTTCCAATCAACATTGAATTTAATCAATGTCTTTTCTCTGGTCAAAGCTGTCAATTTAGCCATCTCAGCAAGCTCCATCATCTTCACCATCCACTTTTCCATTGTGAGTAATGACAGATCCTTCCACTGTTGTGCATATAGAAGTCTTGCTGCTGTTATCATGTATAAAAACAAAGTTCCATGAGTTTTTTCCAACTCTTTGTCAATCAGTCCCAAAAGAAACACCCACGGCCTCATTTGTATATTAATCTTTAAAATCTTCTGAATTAATGTATGTATGTGGAAAAAATATTGACATGTTTTTCAGCCAAAGAAATACTCCCATCTAGATATGGACAGCAGATTTCATGTCCTTTGAATGACAGAACTTAGATGTTTTTTCCTTCCTTCTCTTCTCTTCTCTTCTCTTCTCTTCTCTTCTCTTCTCTTCTCTTCTCTTCTGATGTTGCCTATACTGAAATTTCCTTATTTTTCAAAAACTGGAACACATAGTGAAAAGAAACTCTTTTGTCCTGGGAATCATATATTTTGAATTTTATTGAAAACTTTGGAAAAAAAAGAGAAAAGGCAAATAAATTGCACAGTTAATATATTTCAGTGGAGGCACACGCAAAAACAGTGTGATCTGTTCCAGACTTGAGGGGCAAGGGTAGCGTCTTTCTTGGGAATGAAGAAAAAAAGAAGATGGGGAGTACTGGTAAAAACTCTTGGTTTAACAGTTATTACTGTTAACCAAAGTGTTGTTCATTCTGTTGTTTTCTTCTTTCGTACTCAAAAAGGGATTCAGATTCAAGGGGAGTTGGTTGAAGAACGTGGCTTTTCCATTGACCCACCAGTTTGTTCTTCTCATTGTTGTCTTTTCTTCAACCTTGAAAAGGGAAGAGAGGGGAGTTATGGGAATTTACAGCAAATAAGATGAAAAGACTTTTTGGCTCCTCTGAGCCATTTTACATTTCTACAAATTCTACAATATATTGTCTCAGTCCTTGGCCCTAGAATTTGCACAATTTTTACAGAAGGACTTATCCCCATCTTGACTCCAAAGAAATCTTTAGAATTTCTCTTTTCATCCATTTACTTGCACAGTGACCCTGCCTTCCATACTGAGCAAAAAAAAGTATAAGTTGTTGTTGTTGTTGTTGTTATCCGCACTCAGTCGTGACTGATTCTGCGGCGACTGCCTGGACGAGTCCTTGCAGTTTACAAGGCAAGGTGTTTCAGAAGTGGTTTGCCATGGCCTCCTTCCTAGAGCAGAGCCCAGCTGGCGAGCGCAGGAGGCGGGGGTTCCGTTGCTTCGCACCTTTTTTGGGCATGTGCGGCTTCTGCGGTACCGGCAACTGGTCCCCGTCTCCCGTGCCACCAGCATTTTTCCTCCCACCAGGATGAGAGTCCCCATTTATCTACTCACGTAAGTTTTCGAGCTGCTGGGTTGGCAGGAGCTGGG